CCTTAGGTAAGATGGACATCTTCACAATGTTGATTCTTCCGATCCATGAGCATGGGATATTTTTCCACTTGTTCATGTCGGCTTTGATTTCTTTGAGCAGTGTTTGTAATTTCATTGTAAAGGTCTTTCACGTCTCTGGTCAGGAAGATGCCAAGGTATTTCATTTTTTTTGTGGCTATTGTGAATGGAACTGTGTTTTTTATTTGGGTTTCTGTTTGTTTATTATTGGTGTAGAGAAATGCGATTGTCTTTTGTACATTTATTTTGTATCCTGAGACTTTGCCAAAGGCTTTTATCAATGTAAGGAGACCTTTGACAGATTCTCTTGGGTTTTCAAGGTACACCATCATATCATCTGCATAGAGAGATAACTTGACTTCCTCTTTTCCTATTTGAATACCTCTGATTGCCTCCTCTTCTCTGATTGCTTTAGCCAGGACTTCCAATACTATGTTGAACAGGAGGGGAGAGAGTGGGCATCCTTGTCTAGTTCCAGTTTTCAGGGGAATTGGTTCCAATTTTTGTCCATTTAGGAGTATGCTGGCTGTGGGTTTCTCGTAGATGGCTTTTACTATTTTGAGGTATGTTCCCCGTATGCCTAGATGTTCAAGGGTTTTTATCAAGAAGGGGTGCTGGATTTTATCAAAAGCTTTTTCTGCATCTAGTGATATGATCATGTGGTTTTTGTTTTGACATCTGTTGATGTATTTAATTACATTTATGGTTTTACGAATATTGAACCAGCCTTGCATGCCAGGAATGAAGCCTACTTGGTCATGATGGATGATTTTTGAGATGTATTGCTGAATCCGGTTTGCTAGGATCTTGTTGAGAATTTTAGCATCTATGTTCATCAAAGATATTGGCCTGTAGTTCTCTTTCTTTGTTGGATCTTTACCTGGTTTGGGTATGAATGTGATGTTGGCTTCGTAAAATGATTTGGGGAGAGTTCCATCTTTTTCAATCGCCTGGAATACCTTCAGTAGGATTGGTATCAGCTCCTCCTTGAATGTCCTGTAGAATTCTGCTGGAAAGCCACCTGGACCAGGACTTTTTTTTGTAGGAAGTTTTCTTATTACGTAGTCGATTTCCTTGATTGTTATTGGTGTATTTAGGGTCTCAATTTCTTCTTGTTCCAATCTAGGTAGTGTGATATCTCACTTTCTTCTTGTTCCAACCTAGGTTGTGTGATGTCAGAAAGTCCTCCATTTCCTTACGGTTTTCAAGTTTGTTTCCATACAAGTGTACGTAGTAGTCTCTAATGATCTTTTGTATTTCTTCAAGGTCAGATGTGACTTCATCTTTTGTGTTTCTGATTGTGCTTATTTGGTTTTTTTCTCATTTTTTCTTGGTCAGTCTAGCTAGGGGACCATCAATCTTGTTTACGCTTTCGAAGAACCAGCTTATTGTTTCATTGATTTTTTGTATTATCTTTTTGTCTTCTATGTCCTGGATTTGGGCTTTTATTTTTGTGATCTGGATTCTTCTGCTGAAATTAGGGTTTTTGTGGTCTTGCTTTTCTAGATCTTTAGGTGGCTTGTTAGGTTGTGAATTTCTGTTCCTTCCATTTTCTTCATGTGTGTTTGTAGGGATATAAATTCCCCTCTTACTACAGCTTTCAGGGCATCCCAGAGATTTTGGTAAGATGTTTCTTCATTTTCATTTGTTTCCAGGTATCTTTTGATCCCTTTTTTGATTTCATCATTGACCCAGGAGTTGTTTAGCATCATGCTGTTTAGTGTCCTTGTCTTTGTGGGTTGTGGGGGGACTTTGTTGGTGTCAATGTTTATTTTTATTCCACTGTGGTCCGAGAAGGTGCTTGGTAGAATTTCGGTCCTTTTAAATTTGCTTATGCTTGATTTATGGCCGAGTATGTGGTCGATCTTAGAATATGTTCCATGTGGTGATGAGTAGAATGTATATTCTGTGGTCTTTGGATGGAGTGTTCTGTAGGTATCAATTAAGTCCATTTGGTCCAAAGTCACATTGAGGTTCCAGATCTCCTTGCTGATTTTTGTCCTGATGATCTGTCTAGGATTGTGAGTGGGGTATTAAAGTCCTTAGTTATAATAGTGTCAGAGTCGATATCTTTCTTTAGTTTTCCAAGAAGTTGCTTTATGAAAGTTGGCGCACCTATGTTGGGTGCATATATGTTTAGGATAGATATTTGTTGTTGATGGATTGAGCCTTTTTATCATTATGTAGTGGCCCTCTGTATCTTTTTAAATTTTTGATAGCTTATATGGTATTTTGTCTGAAATTAGGATCGCGACTCCTCCTTTCTTTTGTGTTCCATTCGCCTGAAAATTCTCAGTCTGTGTATGTCCTTTCTCGTGAGATGGGTCTCTTGAAGGCAGTATATTGTGGCCTGGGGATATTTTATCCATTTTGCCATTCTATGTCTTTTCAGTGGTGCGTTTAGTCCCTTCATGTTCAAGCTAATTATTGAAATGTGAGAGTTTGTCCCTGTCATAGAGTTCTTATAGAGTTGTTGTTCTTCCACTTGGTTTTTTGTCTTTCTTTTGGTTTTGGAGTTGGTT